TCCATGGAGCCAGCACTCTTCCAGCCATGGGTCACAGACATTGCATTCCACACTTGCACATCGATGGGAATAATGTAATGGGTAAAATAAACCTCCCAAGAGGTTTGTACACTTGTGGAGAGCCCCCGAAGATTGGCATCACCCGGCGTAAAGCAAGATTTTTCCATGACGGTATGTTCACGTCCCCCCACCCCTACAGCCAGATTTTTTTTCATGACATGGTCTCGTGACCTGGATCCAATATATAGACTCAGTTATACCATTGTGTTGTGGAAGAAAATCTCACCTACACAGAATGGTTTGGGAAAACGTGTTCTCATAAGACCATATAATCTTTTTAAGTCCAAGTAAGTTACTGATAAGCAAATGTCTGTCTAGCCCTTTGTATTTGACTGGTAAAGAGTGCAGCATCGAGACCTGGCTAAACTAAAGGTCTTTTTTCAGCTGGCATTTGAAATGCACTCCTAATGGCCTCTCAATTATTTTTTAAGAGGTTTTAAAAAAGAATAAGAAAATGAGTATGGAAATGTCAATAACTGACAAATTGGAAAATAGTGAGTGTATTCATTATTGAGTTTACACACACTTTTGCATAAAATGTGTCTATAAATTTGTTCTCATTTTTTAAAATGTCAAAGCACTGTACAAGTATTTTTTTGTTTCTATTCTTGAGGTAACAAATTAAACTGCATATGTTTTTTTTTCCTAAAAACAGTAAATTATGACCCAGAATGATCAACAGAGCAAACCAGCCTGACTGAGGGAGCAAGGCATAATGGTGTTGATTGTGTTACCAAATTTCTAGTACTATGTGTGCATAAATTACCTAGTGTATATAATAGTTTACTATTATTCTTGAAAGTACTATATTCTGATGGATTTTTATTTGGTAATACTAATATTGAGATACAAATGACAAATAATAAGTATATTCAAATGCGTTATCTCGTTTCCCTGATTTAACCCTGGCTGTGCATAGCCTTAGGTGTAACTTCTAAACTATGAAAATGGGGTATGTCCTGGTTAGAGATTGTCCATGCCACTTTTTATGATTTTTACTTTCATTTCTCACAGAAGATTAATGTAAAAACATTTTTTCTCCTATTTTGTTTTTTAGAAAATGCTAAACTGTTGGAGTCTGTTACATCAATATAGGTTGAACTAGGTTGAAATTTGTGAAGATCAAGCCCAAGTCACAGATAATCTGTAGAGAACAAACCATACCCCATTGCCAAAGCTCAAAAACTACTCTGGGATACTGCAGTGAGAAAGCTACATACAAAAAAATATTAATTCCTTTAAATATCATGACTTTAAATGAAAATCACTCGATAAAAAAAACATCATCCTATGGCCATTGAATAAATTATGAAAAAAAAAAAAAAAAAAAAAAAAAAAAAAAAAAAAAAAAAAAAAAAAAAAAGTGCAATGCAGAGGTCACTATTCAACGGATAATGTTCCCAACAAGAAGCAAGACGATGTTGATTCTATGGCACTTCATACTTGAGAAGCATATCTATGGCCCTGGATATCTTGCAACAAACACCACAAATGACTTTTTAAGCTTTTAACAACCTTCGTTGGGAAGTCAGGATCACCAGAATAAAATACATGATAGTTGACTTCTCTGGGGAAACTGTATTAACTTATCTCTTTAACTGGTACATTCACCTGCCTCCAGGTCAAAATCTTGGCCTTTTCTTCACTTCGACATATTTGAACCCGACACTTATAAGTGTAGATGGAAAATAAATGAAAAAGAAACTCCTAGATATCTGAGATTTTGGGTTGGAGGTACCCTGCATGCATTTTCACTGAGGAGTGTTGGTAGTACTTTGCCTCAGGGGTCTCTTGTTGGATGCAAGATGTCCACAGTGACAAGTGTAGTAGTAGTAGCAGTAATAGTAGTGGTCATAGTAGTAGCAGTAGTAGTAGTAGTAGTAGTAGTAGTAGTAGTAGTAGTAGTAGTAGTAGTAGTAGTAGTAGTAGTAGTAGTAGTAGTAGTAGTAGTAGTAGTAGTAGTAGTAGTAATAGTAGTAGTAGTAATAGTAGTAGTAGTAATAGTAGTAGTAATAGTAGTAGTAATAGTAGTAGAGGTGGTAGTAGCAATGGTAGTGGTGCCAGGTGGTGGAGGTGGTGATATTGGTAGAGGTGGTATTGGTGGTGGTTACCACCACCAGTAGTAGTAGTAGTAGTAGTAGTAGTAATAGTAATAGTAGTAGTAGTAGTAGTAGTAGTAGTAGTAGTAGTAGTAGTAATAGTAATAGTAGTAGTAGTAGTAGTAGTAATAGTAGTAGTAGTAGTAATAGTAGTAGTAGTAGAAGTAGCAGTAGTAATAGTAATAGTAGTAATAGTAGTAGTAGTAGTAAAAGTAGTAATAGTAGTAGTAGTAGTAGTAGTAAAAGTAGTAATAGTAGTAGTAGCAGTAATAGTAGTAGTAGCAGTAGTAGTAGTAGTAGTAGTAGTAGTAGTAATAGTAATAGTAATAGTAGTAGTAGTA